CCTCTGTCAGATCTTGCTGTAGTAGTTCCCACACTCACTCAGTCATATACAGTACGCTTCAGTGACCTGAGAGTACAGGTAGGTGCACTGTCTAGTTTTACTTTCAATTGGAGGCATAATAACTATTTAAATGAACTAGTTTTCATTTTTTGTTTTTGTGTAATAAAGGAACAAACTTGACTTTTGTGCGCAAATATTAACATACTCCCTACAGAACAAACTCCAATACAAAGCATGTAAGCAAACAAGCTTTGGTATGCAAACAGACAGGGGGAAACACACACACACACATATTTACACACCAACACACGCAGACACTACATAACATAACATAACATGCATATTGATGCCCCACACACACTTCCACATACGCTGCTGCTACTGTCTATTATCCATCCTGTTGCCTAGTCACGTTACCCCTACCTATATGTACATAGCTACCTCAATTACCTCGTACCCCTGCACGTCGACTCTGTACTGGTACTCCCTGTATATAGCCATGTTATTACCTCGTACCCCTGCACGTCGACTCTGTACTGGTACTCCCTGTATATAGCCATGTTATTACCTCGTACCCCTGCACGTCGACTCTGTACTGGTACTCCCTGTATATAGCCATGCACATCGACTCTGTACTGGTACTCCCTGTATATAGCCATGTTATTACCTCGTTCCCCTGCACATCGACTCTGTACTGGTGCTCCCTGTATATAGCCATGTTATTACCTCGTACCCCTGCACATCGACTCTGTACTGGTACTCCCTGTATATAGCCATGTTATTACCTCGTTCCCCTGCACATCGACTCTGTACTGGTACTCCCTGTATATGACTAAGTCGCTTTGGATAAAAGCGTCTGCTAAATGGCATATATATATATATATATATATATATATATATATACACACACATACATACAGTGAGGGAAAAAAGTATTTGATCCCCTGCTGATTTTGTACGTTTGCCCATTGACAAAGACATGATCAGTCTATAATTTTAATGGTAGGTTTATTTGAACAGTGAGAGACAGAATAACAACAAAAAAATCCAGAAAAACGCATGTCAAAAATGTTATAAATTGATTTGCATTTTTCTGAGGGAAATAAGTATTTGACCCCTCTGCAAAACATGACTTAGTACTTGGTGGCAAAACCCTTGCTGGCAATCACAGAGGTCAGACGTTTCTTGTAGTTGGCCACCAGGTTTGCACACATCTCAGGAGGGATTTTGTCCCACTCCTCTTTGCAGATCTTCTCCAAGTCATTAAGGTTTCGAGGCTGACGTTTGGCAACTCGAACATTCAGTTCCCTCCACAGATTTTCTATGGGATTAAGGTCTGGAGACTGGCTAGGCCACTCCAGGACCTTAATGTGCTTCTTCTTGAGCCACTCCTTTGTTGCCTTGGCTGTGTGTTTTGGGTCATTGTCATGCTGCAATACCCATCCACGACCCATTTTCAATGCCCTGGCTGAGGGAAGGAGGTTCTCACCCAAGATTTGACGGTACATGGCCCCGTCCATCGTCCCTTTGATGCGGTGAAGTTGTCCTGTCCCCTTAGTAGAAAAACACCCCCAAAGCATAATGTTTCCACCTCCATGTTTGACGGTGGGGATGGTGTTCTTGGGGTCATAGGCAGCATTCCTCCTTCTCCAAACACGGCGAGTTGAGTTGATGCCAAAGAGCTCGATTTTGGTCTCATCTGACCACAACACTTTCACCCAGTTCTCCTCTGAATCATTCAGATGTTCATTGGCAAACTTCAGACGGCCCTGTATATGTGCTTTCTTGAGCAGGGGGACCTTGTGGGCGCTGCAGGATTTCAGTCCTTCACGGCGTAGTGTGTTACCAATTATTTTCTTGGTGACTATGGTCCCAACTGCCTTGAGATCCTTGACAAGATCCTCCCATGTAGTTCTGGGCTGATTCCTCACCGTTCTCATGATCATTGCAACTCCACAAGGTGAGATCATGCATGGAGCCCCAGGCCGAGGGAGATTGACAGTTCTGTTGTGTTTCTTCCATTTGCGAATAATTGCACCAACTGTTGTCACCTTCTCACCAAGCTGATTGGCGATGGTCTTGTAGCCCATTCCAGCCTTTTGTAGGTCTACAATCTTGTCCCTGACATCCTTGGAGAGCTCTTTGGTCTTGGCCATGGTGGAGAGTTTGGAATCTGATTGATTGATTGCTTCTGTGGACAGGTGTCTTTTATACAGGTAATAAACTGAGATTAGGAGCGCTCCCTTTAAGAGTGTGCACCTAATCTCAGCTCGTTACCTGTATAAAAGACACCTGGGAGCCAGAAATCTTTCTGAATGAGAGGGGATCAAATACTTATTTCCCTCATTAAAATGCAAATCAATTTATAACATTTTTGACATGTGTTTTTCTGGATTTTTGTTGTTGTTATTCTGTCTCTCACTGTTCAAATAAACCTACCATTAAAATTATAGACTGATCAATTCTTTGTCAGTGGGCAAACGTACAAAATCAGCAGGGGATCAAATACTTTTTTCCCTCACTGTATATATATATATATATATATATATATATATATATATATGTATATATGTATGTATGTTATTACCTCGTACCCCTGCACATCAACTCTGTACTGGTGCTCCCTGTATATAGCCATGTTATTTGACTCATTATTGTTATTCACAGCGTATATATTCCTCATGTCACTGTTTTTATTTTTATTATATATTTTTATCTATAACTCTGCATTGGACCTGTAAAAAGGACCCGTAAGTAAGAATTTCACTGTTAGTACATCTGGTTGTTTCAATGAAGCTGTGTTACAAATACTAATTTCTGTATTCATATCACCCCTCACCTCTATCTCCCTACAGATTTCCCGCAGCTATTAATTTCTGTCACTTTGAGCTCCTTCCCTCATCCTTTTCCTTCTGTTTTCCATCCCCTCTTCTGTCCTACTTATCCCCCATCCTTCTCTCTCTTTTCCTCCTTGTTTCTGTCCTCCATCCTCATCTCTTTCTGCCCTCCATCCTTCTCCTATTCTTTTGCCTCCTTCTCTCTTCTCTCTGCCCTCCACCTCTCTCTATCCTCTTTCGCCATTCTCTATTCTTTCTGTCATGGCTCTGTGTTTTCCAGACTGTTTTAGGACTTGTTGTACTCTCCAATATTTCATCATGTCATTGTTAAACTGTCATGTACTAGCTATGCCCTTCTCTCCTCCTTTGGGTGTTATTGTGTCAGAGAGAGAGAGGCTTTCACCTGGAGTAGAACCCATGCAACCTCACTGTAACACTACCGGATTGGTCTCTGAATACTGAATAGTCTAGATATGACTGAATATTTATCCATTTGGGTGATATGTGTGCAAATCTCAGATGACACCCTATTTATTTCATATATAGTGCACTACTTTTGACCAGAGCCCTTTTACCAATATAGTGCACTACCTCCATAGGGCTCTGGTCAAAAGTAGTGCACTATATGTGGAATAGGCTGTCATTTGAGGCGCTGCCTATAGTTGTAGTGTATCTAAATGTATCCTTCCTGTGTATTGATTATCTGGTGATGTAGTGGGCTGTGAGAAGGTCAATGAGAGGATGGGGCACGTTTCACCTTCTCTCCACTTCCTCTCCTCCTGTTGTTATTAGCATGTCAACTGCCTACCCTGCCCGCTGCTGTCCAACCTAAGTCTTACTACGCTACACTCTGCTCCCTGCATACCAAACCATGTCTGTGTGTGTGTGTGTGTGTGTGTGTGTGTAGAGAACGTTTTTCCTCTTTTGAAATATGAATGTCATTGTACGAGTCTACCAATGTCATTGAATAAGGAGATATTTCAGGTGGGTGTTTTTAATTTGCTGAATAAACACAGTCAACCAAAGTTATTACTTATTGTCTACAGTACAGGTTGTTATGCTCGTCTAAAGAGCAAAGGATGTTTTTTACAGCCCAAGATGAGGCTTCACTTCATGTAGAGATACTGTACAGACTACAGAGCAGCCCAATTCTGCTGTTACTTTGAGAGAAGTGTGTGCAGTTTAGAGGGCAAATGCCCGCCATTACAGTTACTGTAGATTCTACCACTGTAGCATGCATCAATCCTATTATTCTCCTTGACCAGAAGGCACAAAGGCTAATGTACGTTCTCCCTCGCCACCACAAAGCCTACAGCAGCAAGTACTTATTAAGACTACCTTATTAGCCCAGTCACAGGCTTTGTACCAAATAGTACCCTATTCCCAATGTAGTGCACTATTTTTGACCAGGGCCCGCAGGGCTCTAAATGCACACTATATAGGGAATAAGGTGCCATCTGGGACGGATGACAGTGACACAATGACACTCGGAGTACTTGCGCAGATGTAGGTTATTTAGCATCAACCCCAGAGAGACAACCAATGGCAAACCCACAGGATCACACTGAGAAGCTAAAAGGCTAAATGCATTTGGTTGAATGCCAGAGGGAATGCAGCAGGTAATGTAGGTAATCAAATAAATCAAGGTCCAGGGTCATTGAACAAATTGACCACCACAGAGCTCTGTGGAGTACAGTGTAGCACCGAGGCTAATGTACAAAGTCATTCTCAGTAGGATACATGACATCACAATGTTTAGCAATGGAAAACAAAACTCTTTGTTCTTATTGGACACATGCAGGTTGAACCTCCCTGCTTCACTCAATTTCCAAATATTTATCAGTTTCCTCCCTACTGAACAGGACTTGAGGCCAGAGGGCACACAGCAGGGATACTGTTTGAGGGTTAAGCCTGTATGGTATTAGACAGTAGGCTGAATGCTTGTTTTGGCCAGTAAATGCTCTAGTGAATACTGGGGATGTGGTGTTACTCTGTAAATAACTGGCCACTTTGGGAATGGAAATGGACTGTGCTGCATCACATTGACCATCAGACCGAGGACAAGAGAACCAATTAGCCATCAGCCTCACTCCCTCACTCAGTCACGCACTGATTCAGGTAGGTAGGCAGGAGGACAGGGAGACAGACTGGGAGGAAAGAAGCATGCAGGGAGGTAAGAAGCAGGCAGGCAGGCAGGGAAGTAAGCAGGCAGGACAGGGAGGTAAGCAGGCAGGCATGGAGGGAGGTAAGCAGGCAGACAGACCGACAGGGAGGTAAGTAGACCGGCAGGGAGGGAGGTAAGCAGGCAGACAGACCGACAGGGAGGTAAGTAGACCGGCAGGCAGGGAGGGAGGGAGGTAAGCCGGCATGGAGGCAAACAATCAAGGATAGGGTAATAGGCGTATGTTCCCTTTAAAGCCACGGCTGTTCAAATGGTGTGTGTCATACTCCCACTGTTCCTCTGCCCTCTCTATTCTGAGACAGTCCTCATTTTCTCTCAAGGTCAAGTGTGTGTAGTCTACCTTTGCTCTCCTCTACTGCTCCACACCTCCCTCTCTCCCTTTTCCTCTTTCCTTCTGTCATTCCACTCTCCTCGCACTGATTCCCTCTCCTGTTCTCGCTCTCATTCTCTTTCTCTCTCTGTCCCTCAGATGTCGCTCATCAACCTTGTTTATTGCTTCCCCTTCTCTCCTCTCTCGGTCTCCCTCTTTCCTTTCCTTCATTCCCTGTTCTCTCCATTCCTCCCTCATGTCCCTTCCTTCACTCGTCACTCTCACCCTGCTGTCTCCCTTTCTTTTTCAGGCTCTCTCACTTTCAGCCTATCTCTCTCTCTTCCTCTCTCTCCTCTCACCCTCTCTCTCTTTCAACCTTTCATCCCCCGCTCTCTCTTGCTGTCCACTCATCCTGCATCACTTTGACATCCCCTAGCTGTCTCCCCTCCTCTCGTCCTTCCATCCACCTCCTTTTCCTGATCCGTTTTACCTCCATCAAAGGTATGGTGGGAAATATGTAGATGTCAGTCAGTGTCAGGCAGAGATCAGAGAGGACGGGGTTAATATGGCAGGGGTGTCACTGCTCTCAGGGTGTGTGTGAGAGCGACTTAATGATTGGTGACAGTACTTAGGATGCCGACTTGAACATTGATGTGCTACTATTAGATGGCCCAAATCGGTGTTGGGTGTGTGTATGTGTTGGTGGGCGTGTTGTGTGTCACCCGTCCTTTAGGCGGTAAACTGAAGCACAGTAAAGTAGAGCAGCACTGACTGACACACAGCTTCTGTTCTCTCTCCTCCCTCTCCATCCTACCCTTCAACCATCTCCTCTCTCTCTGTTTCCTCTACCCTTCTCAAATCAAATGTTATTCGTCACATGCTTCGTAAACAACAGGTGCAGACTAACAGTGAAATGCTTACTTACAGGCCCTTCCCAACAATACAGAAAGGGGGAAAATACAAATAATAGAAAAACTAACTAGGCAACAGGATAGACTATAAACAGTAACAGCAGTGTATGTGATGAGTCAAAAGAGTTGGTGCAAAAAGGATCAATGCAGTAAGTCCGGGTAGCTATTGGTTAACATACTGAACAAAAATATAAACACAACATGTAAATGTTGGTCCCATGTTTCATGAGCTGAAATAAAAGATCCATAATTTTTCCATATGCACAAAAAGCTTATTTCTCTCAAATTTTGTGGCCAAATTTGTTTACATCACTGTTAGTGAACATTTGTCCTTTACAATATAATCCATCCACCTGACAGGTGTGGCATATCACAAAGCTAATTAAACAGCATGATCATTACACAGGTGCACCTTGTGCTGAGGACAATAAAAGGCCACTCTAAAATGTGCAGTTTTGTCACACAACACAATGGCAACGTTGTTTTAGATAATTTGGCAGTACGTCCAACCGGCCTCATAACCGCAGACCAGGTGTAACCACGCCAGCCCAGGACCTCCACATCCGGCTTCTTCACCTGCAGGATCTGAGACCAGCCACCTGGACAGCTGATGAAACTGAGGAGTATTTCTGTCTGTAATGAAGTCCTTTTGTGGGGAAAAACTCATTCTGATTGGCTGGGCCTGGCTCCCAAGTGGGTGGGCCTATGCCCTCCAGGCCCACCCATGGCTGCGCCCCTGCCCAGTCATATAAAATCCAAAGATTAGGGCCTAATGAATTTATTTGTAAACTGTAACTCAGTAAAATCGTTAAAATTGTTGCATGCTGCGTTTTTATATTTTTGTTCAATATATTTAACAAACTATTTGGCAGTCTTATGGCTTGGGGGTAGAAGATGTTCAGGGTCTTGTTGGTTCCAGACTCCTCTCGCTCTCGGTTTTCTCTACCCTTCAATCCTCTCTCTCTTTCTCCCTCCCTCTCCTCTCTCTCTCTCTCTCCTTGCCTCTCCCCCTTCAATCTTCTCATCTCCATCCTCTCCTCCTTATTCTATTTGAATCTGTCCACTTCACTCTTCTCTATATTTATAGTTTAATATTAGTTATCTGTTTTAAGGCATCCTTACCTTAGTGACACAAATTAGGTGTGTGTGTGTGTGGTGTGGTGTGTGTGTGTGCACGCTTATCAATACAGTTCTGTGTAATGACCTGTGGCATGCAAAGTTGACTCAATCCATACTCCCCAGTGGAGACGAGCAATCCTGGGTTTCAATAGCCCTCCATCCCTCCCTCCTTCCCTCGCTAGAGCCGAGCAGGTCCCAGAGCTAATCTGTAGTGGGTCTAGCTGCTGCCTGATCCCTCCCGAACACTCCCATCACCTAGATCACACAGCAATAGGCCCTACACTAGGGCATAATACATACAGGGTTTCAAGGTCTGGAGAGGCACCAGGATCCAGCTAGAACACACTCAGATTCTGAACCCTTCACCCCGTGCACTGATTCATTCACTTCACTCCCACTCGTTGATTTGCCAGTATAAGAACTGAACCTTATCTGTGAAGGAATATGGTGGAAACTCCCTATAGCCCCATGCTTACACCAACTGAATGCTGTTAATACCATGAGGGGGCGTGAACAAGTGCACACTTCAGAGAGAAGACTGGGAAATGGGATTGCAACCAGTGCTTCTGGCTCTATTCAGTCATAGCAGCAATCTCAGGGTGGTTGTAAAGAGGTTATGTGGTTGCAGAAGGGTTATTTTGTGGTTTGAGTCGGTGCTGGGAGAGATGGTGGGTTATTCTAGAAATACCTTGCTTGTTTCTCTCTCTCTCTCTCCTCTCTCTCTCTCTCTCTCTCTCTCTCTCTTCTCTCTCTCCTCTCTCTCTCTCTCTCTCTCTCTCTCTCTCTCTCTCTTTCTCTCTCTCTCTCTCTTAAGACCATGGTAGCAGTAGGCTGGGATCTCATCACCACCAGAGAAGACGTCAGTCCTGGCCTTCTCTCTCTCTCTCTCTCTCTCTTTCTCCCCTCTCCCCTTCTTTTTAAAGACCATGGTAGCAGAGGTAGGCTGTGTGGATTGCTCATCACCACCAGAGAAGACGTCAGTCCTGGCCTTTGACTCGTGTCTCCATAGGGATGGTGTGTTTTCCACCCCATCTTCTTCTCTAGTCTTAGTCTCTAGAGGATGGACAAACCAGTAGAACCAGTTATGATGCTAATTGTTTGTCTTGACGGGAACATCGATTTCAGTATCAATCACATGGGTGTGTGAGTGTTGATACACACATATGGGAGAGTGACACACAGAGACACAGAGAGAGACAGAGAAGACACAGGGAAACACAGAAGGGACACAGAAGAGACACAGAAGAGACACCAGACAACACACAGTAGATACATCACAGAGACACAGAGAGAGACACACAGAGACCCAGAGAGAGAGACAGAGAGAAATCGATATGTTGGTAAACATTGACAGGTGTGTCACACTAGATAGTTTGTGTCTTTACGTAGAACAGGTAGATCAGACAGACACACCGATGCACATTCATTCATACAGTTAATTACATTTTCACGCAGACATGGATGAAAGACACATTCTGGTGACTTGTCAGGACGTTGTGGTCCTGATAATGTAGGAAACATGTACACACAAACACACACCAATCCCTGTACACAGTGTGTGTGCCTGCACCGAGTAAATGGCTGGTTCTAGAAAAGCATAAGCCATCCAAATGATTTATGACCTGTGTGGAGCAGACTGGTGTTTTTCCTCTTCACTACATGTCCCTGTTTCCTCCACTCATCGCTAGAATGGGGGGCGTGCACGAACACACACACACACACACACACACACCCCTCTAGCAGACTCCTGGAACGTTGACCTACTTGCTTACTGTAGGTAGTCTTAATGGCGTTCCAGACGATTCCACAGTACTATAATCTGTCATCGGACAGACTAGGGCCTGGTCCCAACAAGCTTCCTCTCCTCATCAGGCAGACTGGGGCTGGGGCCTGGTCCCAATAGTCTCAACAAGCTTCCTCTCCTACTCTCCTTTCCTTCATGGCCTCTGACGTAGAACAGGGAGGGGAAAACCGGAAGCCGTGGTGAAAGGTGCACTAACGTCCTCTCCTCTTCCTCCCAGGGGCGGTGTCTCAGCAGGTGAAGGTGGAACCGGAGGTGATGTCATACCCCAGCCAGGCGGTCAACCTGAGGTGTGCCTTTACAGACGCTGGAGGGATACAGCTCACACAGGTCAGTGTCCGACAGACAGGAACTCAAATGTAGACAAATGGATAGGTTTTTACAACTTGAGAAGAAAGTCATAAATGATAATCAAAGGCACACATACAGGAACTAATGTCTGTACTCGTGGGTTTTACCGTCTTAACAATTTACGTCCATGGCCATTAACAAGAGAAAATTATACATTATTATAAAGACACTTTGTCCTTGATCATCCAAGTTTACATGCCTTGTACAGCTTTTATCTACTTTAGTTTAGATGGTAATACATGTACACAAAGAAAATAGTAAAAGTAGCTGTTATTTATTTACCCCTTTTCCCCGTTTGACAGGTTGTGTAATATCTGAATGAATAAACTTGACTGTACTACGCAGGTATCCTGGATCTATGAGCCCAAGGAGGGCGAGAGGCTCAACATCGCCGTTTACCACCCTAGTTTTGGGGCAAGTTACCCCACATCGCCCCTGAAGGGGCGTGTCAGCTTCACGACGAACCCCCCCTCCCTCAGTAACCCCTCCATCCAGATCTCGGACGTCAAGATGACTGACGAGGGGAAATACATCTGTGAATACGCCACCTACCCCAGCGGCAACGAACAGGGCGTCACCTCCCTCGTCATGCTAGGTAGGACCGTATGTGTGTCTTTCTTTAGGGTGTGTGTGTGTATGTGTGGTCTGTTATGTGTGTGTATCCACGTTCTATTATGTATCTGTGTGTAAGTGCTCTCGTGCCTCCCCCTCCCCCCATCCCATCCGACCTCTACCCTACAGGTTGAAATCCTGTCCATGCAGCTTAATTGCTATTATAAATGGTATTGTCAGATCAATTGTGTTTTTGTTAATGCGTTAGAACCATTGCTCTAACCTTGGTGCAGCTCTCCCCTCGGGCGTTTATTGATCCGGCTGCTTGTCATGCTTGGTGTCGGCTCTTTTCCTGATCACTGTACTCACGTTCAACACCCATGGAGAGACTGGGAGAGGGAGAACAAACAGATAAAGGTTGTCTTGTTTTCTCCGGTCTCGTCGTTTATCAATATTGGTGTTCATTCATTATTCTCTCTTCCCTCCATCCCTCCATCAGCCAAACCCAGGAACTCTGCCTCCGGGGTAACAGCGATAGCCTCCACTGTCGCCGCGGGAGCCAAGCCAGTTGTCGTGGCCCGCTGTGAGTCGGTCGACGGTCGCCCTGCTGCCCAGATCGCCTGGGTGACGGCTGTCAACGGCAACGCTACCTCCGCCTCTAAGGCGGGCGTTGACAACACTGTGACGGTATCCAGCGAGTACATGCTGGTTCCCACAGCAGCAGACAACGGCAAAGACATCAGCTGTGTGGTGTCCCACCGGACCCAGGCCAAGCCTGAGAGCTTCCTGATGAAACTGACCATAGAGTGTAAGGCCGCTGCACACACACACACTTACTCATGCAGACCGTATTCTCAGACCTTTTTAATGTTGTCATGCATATGCGTCAGAATACAATTATTTTCTCCCTGTAGGAAGTAACACTAATTAACCTCTCTCTCCCCCTCTCTCTCTTTCTCTATCCCTACCCCCTCTCTCTCCCTCAGACCCCCCACAGGTGACCATCGGGGGCTATGATGATAACTGGTACGTGGGTCGGACCAACGTGGCTCTGACCTGTCAGGCTACTGGCAACCCCATCCCTACCACCCTCACATGGAAAACGTGAGTGTCAGTCCGTCTCTTTGTCAGTCTCGGTCTCTCTCGTTCTTTATCACTCCATCCACAGGCCACTATAAACCACAGATAGTATTATGATCATAATGATCAACTCTACAGCCAATGGCCTCTTATCTTATTCCATAGTGGAGTTTGACTCCAGGTTCAACCCCAGTAGAAACAATAAGCCATGCGGTGTCCTGACTGGCTGGTTCAAAGCCAGTTACTTGTATTATGTTTTTGTAGGGAGATCTGAGCCAGGTTCCAATACTTATGTTTTCCTCCCTCTCTTCCACCCCCTCCTCCTCCTCCACTCTCCCTCTACTCCCAGTATGACCGGTCAGATGCCAGACACAGTGCAGATAAAAGAAAATGTGCTGACCGTGCTGAAGGTGGATGAGCAGACCAACACAACCTTTGTCTGCGAGGCCAAGAACCGCCTGGGCACCGGCAAGGACCAGGTCACTGTTATGGTCAGAGGTGAGTCAACACACACCTGAACACACACACTTGAAATGACTGTAATCATACACATGTGCATGCTATGCTACAAACACACCTGGACACACACCTGAAAACACACTTACTATACATGCAGGCATGCCGGGTTAACACAACACACACACACACACACACACACACACACAGAGGGTGTGGTGACGCTTTCCTGTACTGTAGGGGTCAGGTAGAAGCATGCTCTGTCCCTGGGGTTAGTGGTGGGGGGTGTTTGGTGTGAGCCAGTTTACTGGGCCTCTATACCTCCGTTTGGGTTTTCCATCTATCCATCTTCTACCCTTTGAAACCTTATCACTCCTCTCTTTCTGTTCATACCTATGGATCCTGTGATGTTTGAGCTCTACTCGTCTGTTCATCTACTGGTAGAATGGATTGAATCATCATCAGAGACAGTTTCAAGTCTCTGTACACTTGCAGGCTTAGTTTATTGAGGGTACGGTTTGCATTGGACTGGACTGAAAGGCAACCCCATGGCCTTGCTATCTCCTTGTTGTGTACTGTGACAAACTCCACTATGGAATAAGATAAGAGGCCATTGGCTGTAGAGTTGATCATTATGATCATAATATTATCTGTGGTTTATAGTGGCCTGTGGATGGAGTGATAAAGAACGAGAGAGACCGAGACTGACAAAGAGACGGACTGACACTCACGTTTTCCATGTGAGGGTGGTAGGGATGGGGTTGCCAGTAGCCTGACAGGTCAGAGCCACGTTGGTCCGACCCACGTACCAGTTATCATCATAGCCCCCGATGGTCACCTGTGGGGGGTCTGAGGGAGAGAGAGGGGGTAGGGATAGATCCACACTGCACCACTTGAAAGAGGGATGTTCCGTGTTCGGTCGACCGCGCCCGTTTAAATAAAGAACACTCTGTCCATCTATCCCTCCATCCCTCTACAGCTTTAGCTTTCCCCTCCACGAGTTCCACCTTGCTCTCTCTCTCTCTTATAAAAAATACATCCACCCCCCCTGATCTGCACTTTACCTGAAGTCGTTTTGTGCTGACACGGGGGAATGCAGGACAAATGGATAAAAAGTGCAATTCACTGGTGAATGTGTTTTAAAAACCACCATTCCTCCTCCTCTCCTCTCCTCTCCTCCCCTCCCTCGCTCCGTCCCTCACCTCCTCATGATACTAATGTGTTCTCTCTGATGGGCCACTAGCGTCTCTCTGGGACATAACGGACGTCCCCATGCAGGCCCACTGGGTATTACAGGCCTGGGTATGGGTACAGGACAGGCGGCTGGGGGGAGGGAGGTAGAGAGAGGAGGGGAGAAAAATGGGGAGGGGTGATGGAGAGACTGAAATGGGGAGAGATTGGGAGAGAGAAAGGGGAAGGATTGGAAGAGGGTAGAGGGGTAGAGAGAGTGTCTGTTTTTAGAATAAAGAGGGAGGTGAGAGGGGAACAGGATGCTGATGGCATTTAAAACCCCTATGGGAATCTATGGCACTGCTTCTCCTCTCTCTATGATTTGTGTGTGAGCGAGCAGGCTGACAGTGCTGTGAGTGTGTGTGTAGCGGGGTGCTGTAGTGTAGTCTCTCTCTATCCTCTCTGAGCGGATCAGTCTGTCTCTGCTGCTTCAGCTCCTGGCTGCTTCTCCTTCTTAACTCCCTCCCTCCCCCTCATCATCCTGTCTCCCATAAACTCTGCTGTCCATCATCCTGTCTCCCAGAATTGTTAATTTCCTGTCCTCCCTCTCTCTCCTCCTCTTCGGTCCGTCACCCCTACATTCCCTCTTCTTTCCCTCTTCTCTCCCTGTCTTTCTTCTTCTCCCCCTCCCCCTTCATCTCTCCTGCTATACTCCCCTCCCTTATTGTTTCTTGTCCTGTCCAGTCATCTCCCTCTTCTCTCCTTTTCTCCTGTCATTCCCCCTCCTCAGTGAGTAAGAGAGTCAAAAGGGGGATGAATGAACTGAGTGCAGGCACACACAGAGAGAGACGGAGAGAGGTAGTGTAAAAACCGATGGAGTGCTAATGCAGTGGAGCTGTGTCCAAACAGGGCTGAGAGGGGGCGATGGGTGTGAAATGACTATAGCAGGCTCCTGCTGCTGCCCCTGTCCTGCTCCTGTCCTGCCCCCAGCTGTGTGACAACTGACTCACAGAGCCCTGCACAGGGTTATGAGCTGACCTGGGACCTGTCTCTTTTGTCTGTCTGTGTCCCTGCCCCTGGTCCGGTCCTCTCTAACTAGCCTCAATCCCAGGGAAGGACGGAAGGATGGGGAGGGAGAGGCCATCTCACTCTCCCTCCCTTCTCCCCCTTCTCTCTGTCAGTGTTCCTATCATGCTCCTACAGCGCTGTACTGATCTGTGCTCAGTGGAGAGACATGCCGTTAGCCATCTCTGAGACCCCCTCTCTCTGTCTCTCTTAAATACCAGCCCACAGCACTGAGCCTGTCTCCCTTTCCCCTCGATCTCCCTCTCACCCCATTCTCTCTCTCTCTCTCCCTTCCTTTCTCTCTCATACCTCTCTCTCGCTCCCTCTCATCCCCCTTTTCCCTCTCCCCCTCTCTCTCTCTCTCTCATCCTGCTGAGCTGGTCTCTCCTTCTCTTAACGTTTAAATACCAGCTCTCTTAATCACTGCTTAGCTCCCCCGATCCTGCACTGGAACCTGCTCCGCCGCGGTTAGCTAACCCACTTTCTGCCATCCCCACTGTCTCCAATCCCTATTCCCATGCACTGGTGTCACATCAAAATCCTTCCCCACCCGTTCAGAAGACTAACCTTTTTCCTTTCCGTTTCACATATTCCCCTGTAGTGGTGTCACATAAAAATTAGCCCCCCTTCAGAAGATGAACCTCCTCCGTTCCGCTTCCCCCCAGTCTGTCTGTCTCTGGCCATTTGTACAGAGAGGGGGAACATATCTAATGTAGTCTGTTCCTCTCCAGCCTCCAGGCCTGACTGGCCCTCTGATGACATCCATCCACCCCTCATTAAGACATGGTCAAGACCAGATACATGTATAATACTGTATAAATAGTCTGATCCAGACCATTCAATAAGTCACATTCTGTACTGCTGCAAACTCACCATCTCTCTCTCTGTGAAGAAACCAGCCAAAAACCAACCAATCCATCTTCTCCCATAATATAATGTAATGTAATATATGCCCATGCATCACTGAGTGGTGTGTGTGGTTGGGGGTTGCTGCTGCATGTCTTTGGGAGGCGGGCGGCAGCAGGCTTTATTTCCGCCTCATCTCTCTCATTACTTGCGGTTACTTGGAGCTTATGGTCATGCATGACGCAATCTATAAAAGGCATCATGTTTTCCTCAACCAGTGGTTTTTGTGCTGGAGCTACGCATAGTGTTTTGGCATACCGGACAGCCCCGGGGGCCAACGAGCTCTTGGGGCCCATGCTCCTGTCTGACACAAATAATTGTGACAGTAACCCTCCAAAAAGTCATTAAGAATCTTTTTAATGTACTAGGAAGCTAAGCATTTGTTTCTTGGGCTTCAAGAATGTGACTGATCAAAGTGCCTCAGGCCTTGAAAAATAAATAATTAAACTGATTGAAAGTATAAGGGGATATCGGTGAACAAATGCCATTGTCAAGGCTACGACGGCGCCAGTGCAGTGAGTGGAGCTTACCAGGAGTTCAAAAACGTATGTCAGACCAAGAGCCTTAGGTAGTTCTTTTGAGTTTTAATTTAGAAAACGATCTCTCCGCAGAAGCGACAGTTACAGGGATGGTTAAAAACAGCTTGATTGCTGTAGCAAGAAAGGTGAACTGGGCAGAAGGGAGTGGGTGCTTCAAATATAGCAGTTCTGCAACATCTTTAATTGAGCCTCTCGCATTCTTCTTAATTGTCGGCCTCAACACGTTACGGAAAGAGATGAACTGTATAGGAATCTCTGGGACACGTCGTCTGGATACTGGACAGCCAGTAAATTGGCAGATGCAAACAGATTATTATCTTGAGCGGACAACAGTTCTTGAGAGCTCAAACAAAAAAAGCACTTTGCGAGTTTGTTCATACTGGTGAACCGCCATTTCAGTTGTGTGGTTGCAATGGTTTCAACAGTCCTTTATCTTTGGTATATCTTGCTATGCATCATTCAAGACTAAGTTTAAATTGTGTGCCGCACAATGGACATATAATGCACAATGTTTCTGGAAAGACTGTCTGGGTTGACAATACTCAGTATAGAAAACAGTCGGACCTGCAATCTGTACCTACAGGTCATGGTGAAAACATTTGCACACAAAAATGCAAGGTGATGGAGCAGCATATATAGGCCTCTACATAGGAAAAAAGAGATTGGCATTAATAGACTGGTTTTACGCAGTCCAGAGAAACTGCGTTGTGCCATTGAGAGCGAGGGAGATATTTGAATGCATTTTTCATTGAGAAGATTGTGTACTGCTCTTCCCAAGGCACTGTGCTCAGTGTGTTGATTCCCTGACTGGGAGAAGTGTGTGTGTGCGTGCACAAGGAAAATTCTCTCTCGTGGTGAAATTTTCCACATCCCCACGAGGACAATAGCTATTTTAAGCTTAGGTTATGGTTAGGGAAAATAGGATCTTGAATGGAAATCAATTTTAGGTCCCCACAAGGATAGTAAAACATATGGTGTGTGTGTGATCATGCTGGTGAGAGCTGGTCCCATGCTGTTTAGAATGCCAAACACCTTAGGAGAGGAAGCATTTCTCTACAGGAAGCTGTTTAGTGAAACCTTGGAACACAACACTACTGTTCTCTACTAGCACTGTGCTGTTCTCTACTAGCGCTCTGCTGTTCTCTACTAGCGCTCTGCTGTTCTCTACTAGCGCTGTGCTGTCCTCTACTAGCGCTCTGCTGTCCTCTACTAGCGCTGTGCTGTTCTCTACTAGCGCTCTGCTGTTCTCTACTAGCGCTCTGCTGTTCTCTACTAGCGCTCTGCTGTTCTCTACTAGCGCTCTGCTGTCCTCTACTAGCGCTCTGCTGTCCTCTACTAGCGCTCTGCTGTCCTCTACTAGCGCTCTGCTGTTCTCTACTAGCGCTCTGCTGTTCTCTACTAGCGCTCTGCTGTTCTCTACTAGCGCTCTGCTGTTCTCTACTAGCGCTCTGCTGTTCTCTACTAGCACTCTGCTGTTCTCTACTAGCGCTCTGCTGTCCTCTACTAGCGCTCTGCTGTTCTCTACTAGCGCTCTGCTGTTCTCTACTAGCGCTCTGCTGTCCTCTACTAGCGCTCTGCTGTTCTCTACTAGCGCTCTGCTGTTCTCTACTAGCACTCTACTGTACCACCCAGACCAGCCACCAACCCTGTTGCCCCTGACCACAGATCTAGTATCAGATTAACCAACCTTTAACCATTGGGAGGATTAGAATATATCAGGGCCTCTATTAATAAAGCATCTCACTGCTGATCTAAGATCAGTTTTGCCTTATAAATCATAATGAATTAGATTACATGGACGGGGGACTTCTCAGATCAGCACTCTTACTCAGAGACAATCTTGATGAATGTGGCCCCTGACCCTGTATCAGTGTTTAGGGGACACTTGTACCTACTCCATCCTTTAGCACCTCAAGTTACTGAGGCTCTGGGTCCACTGGAGACCGAGGTTTAAATGCATTTCCTGTGTTTTTATTATAGGAGGGATTGGAGGACCATGTCTCACTGTCATGTGTCAATGGAAAGGTTTAGCTACTGTGTGGGGGGGGGGGGGGGGGGGAAGAGGAGGAGAAGGGTTGAGAGAGAGGAAGCTGGATGAAAAGAAAGGTGTTGGGGGAGAGCAGTAGAGGGGGAGAGCAGTAGAGCAGGGTGGTCTCGGGACCTCTCCACAGCCCTGATTTAGACATCACTCCCCTCCCTGGAGTCTCATACATCACACTTCCTCCTTACCCGCATTACAGCACTAGTGTTTAGTGGACAGAGAACAAAACTGTCCCAATGTGATCCTCTACACCAGGTCTCTGCTTGAGATACTGCGTGGTCTGTAACAGAGATTGCTAAGAAGTAATGCTAAATAACTAGCAGTCTATCTCACCAGCCGGTGTGTCTGGAGTCATGAGCCTTGCAATATGACCAAACTGGGTATGAGGGAATACACCGTCCGGGGCTTATACAACAGAGCTCAATTGAGTGTTCAGTAGCTAGGGGAGAGAGAGGGGCGGACCGACACACTGTCCCCTCTTCTACATTATAGTAGCTTGAAGCAGGAGTTGTCATTCTGCTGTCTCGCTCTGTCAGTCACCACCACCCCGCATCCTCCTCCTTTTCTCCTTCTCCTCCATCCCTGGCTGCATCCCTCCATCCATGTATCATCCTCCTCTCCTGCATGGCCTCCACCTGTTCTTGCCCTCCGGACTCAAGCCTCTCTGGACTCCAGAGGATGTCTTTTGTTTTTGCTTAATCGTTCTGCTATTTTGTGGGTGGGGGGGACTGAGACTAAAGTGGACCTGCACACTGCACTCACACTGTTCAGGAGGAGACGTCATTGGCACGTTGCCTCGATGTTGCAGAGACCTTGTTGAAATGTTGCTCTGACGTTATTGGGGCGTTTGTGAGGGAATGGGGACAGGAGCAGCTCAGAGGGAGAGTAGGAAACGCCAGTGACGTTAAACACTGCTGTTAGAGCCTCAGCACACACACACTCCCACACTCACACACTCCCACACTCCCACGTGCAAAAACACATCACGTGGAATACATTTACATTTACATTTAAGTCATTTAGCAGACGCTCTTATCCAGAGCGACTTACAAATTGGTGCATTCAACTTATGTAAGCCAGTGGGACAACCACTTTTTTTTTTATGTGGGGTAGAAGGATTACTGTTATACTATTCCAGGTAGTGCAGACTACTGACATCATCCAACCCCTCCTCTTCTTCTCTCCCTCCCTCCTCCCTCTTGTCCTCTCTTGCTTTATTTCCCCTTTTTTTCCCTCTCCATCTGCTTTCCTCCACCTGTCTCATCCTCTTATTCTTCTCTCTCTCTCTCCTCTCCCTTCCCTCCCTCCTACAGAACCCTCTATGGTCCCGTCCAACGCGGGCGTGGTGGCAGGTGCTGTGATTGGCTCCCTTCTGGTCCTCCTCCTCGTCGCTGCCCTTATTGCCGTCCTGGTCACCCGCAGCCGCCGGCAACAGCAGGGTTACCGCGGCAACCCAAACCACAGCTCCTACGACATCAAGTCACGCATCTTCGGCAGTGGCAAGAAGGGGAGCAAGAACGGGACGGGTGCTGGCGCCGGGGGCAACGGGGCGGGCGGCAACAACAACAGCCCCATCTACGTCTACAGGGAGGGCTCCGCCCATGATGGCATGACTGAGAAGGCCAATCACCACGTGCCGCTACACCTAGGGGGGCGTGGTGAGGGTGGGGTTGGGACGGCGCCCACGGCGCAGGACATCCTGCTGAGCAGCGAGCTGGACGAGGCGGAACGGAGGAAGTTTGACCAGCTGGAGGACGACGAGGAGAGTTACGACCACTTCGGAGGGGGCGGGCCCATCCTGCAGCTCCGCCCACCACATGACCAGGATGGAATCATTGGCGGTTACCTTGACGACGACATGGAGTCTCAGCGCGACGGGTCGGTCATCTCACGGACTGCCGTGTACGTGTAGAGAGAACGGGAGGAGAAAGAGGAGGAGGAAGGGAAAGCAGGTTGGAGGAATGAAAGGAGAGATGAAATGTCCTCCTTCCAGAGGACTCGGTGGTGTTGGGTATTACTCTCCCCACAGTGAAATATATTAACAACGACCAACAATGCAGCCCAGAGAGAGAGAGCAAGATGAACTGAATGAAGTGGCTGAGGGAGGGAATGTACAGAAACAAGATGGAGGACTGGTGCATTGACAAGACAACTATGCTCTCTAATCCCAATATGAAGAAAAGTGGATCACTTGGTATCTATCTACCAAAACAAATGAAAGAAATCCTAAAACTATCTTTCTGACATCGCTGCTCTGTCTGTGTTCCTCCTTTCCTTAGCTTAGGGACCTTGGAGATTGAAGCCTCCTGAGACACACTGTAGTAGGGACTTGTGTGTAAAATGGCATCTCCATGCAGCCGTTCCCTCACTAGCTAGAGAAACTCCTCACTAAAATATTCACTCTTATCTCCACTAAACGCACAGTAGCAATGTAAGGGGTGTCACGATGATATCTGCTCCCTGCTATTCTCGTCTCTCTCCTGTGGGACAATGTTTGTTCCGGCTACAGTAGCCTTGTTTCTGCTGTATGTGACAGTACTGGGGAAGGGAAAGTTTGGCAGGGAAAGTGGTCGATGTGGTAAAGTAAAATGTCTGATACTCTCTCTAGTGTCTGTATGTTGCTGGAGGCCTCCTCTCTCTTCCTCATCAACTGGAAGTATGCACAGAATTGAGTTTGGGACATTCTGAAATGATAAACAACTTACTGAAGGAAGGGTAGTCATCTAGATGATGAGAGTGCACGAAAGAGGGATTGATGGAGGGATAGGAGGAAGGGAATGGATAGAGGGAAACCGTACAGCTGTTCTCTCATCTCCGGAGAGACTGGGATAGAGGGAAACCATACAGCTGTTCTCTCATCTCCGGAGAGACTGGGATAGAGGGAAACCGTACAGCTGTTCTCCCTCTCCTCCGTTTGATCCCTCTCTTCTTGTGGTGTTCCTGACAGGAAGAGTTTTATTGCTAATGAGCCGTGAAGCCACCGCTCAGCTTAGCACACACACACACCAAATTACCACCGCTCCCTCTTCCGCTCTCTCTCGCTCCCTGTCAATCTTCTCTCTTCCCTACTCCCTCCTCTCTCTCTCCTCCTTCCTTACCCCTCTCCTCATCCTCTATCTCCTTCTCTCCCTCAGTCTCTCTCCTCCCCCAGTCTTTCTCCATCACCTCTCTCTCGCTTGCTTGCGCTGTTTACCGTGTGTGTGATTTACACAGGGCTGTGTGGAGGTCAGGGATACAGGGAGAGCAGAGGAAGTATTTCATGGCTCCCTCCCTACGTGTCAAACACCCCACTTACTGTACTGTGCCCCCTTCCTCCTGCCAGGCCTGACTGAGCGAGCAAGAGAGCCATGGTGAAGTCATGCCCTGCTCGCTGTACATCTCGGCTTTCGTAGTTTGATTAGTAAGGTCTCCTCCTATCCCATTGTATACAGCCCTCTGTCAATCTATACAATCACACGTTATATAGAAATTCAAATACATGATGGCATATTTGCATCTGTAGTCAATTAAGAGAAATTAAGTCAAATTAATTGATTGATTCTGTGCATACACAGGGGGTTGTATGACCTATAATATGACCTATATTGACTAGCAGAGAGGAGGTCTGGGTATATTCCTCCATGATTTAGACATAGACAGGAGCCTGATAGTTTAGTGACTCATTTGTTTGTCTTTCTAACAAGACACTCCAGGGCTGTTCAAGCCAATATCACCATGTACAACTATTATACATCACTAGAGGCAAACAAATGACCAAACTGTGTGTGTCTAACAAGTCACTGGAGGGCTATGAACAGCTGTCTTCCTGAAGAGCCTTTCTCTACCCTCAATACCCCAGATCTGAATCAACCCCTTAACGATTCCTATCTCATGACTCACCTGTGATTCATCGTGTTCCCTGGTTAATCAGTGGGGTTTCATTGGCCGCCCTGACCAGGCGAGGTGCCTGATTGGCCCATTAAGCCTGGGTCTGTTTCTAGGTCACGGTCAGCCAGAGGTCATGGGGTCAAACAATGTGCGTTTTACCGCTGAGGGCGTGGAGGGTGGCCGTGTACACACCTCTTATAGGGGCCCTTTAACTTTAAACCATAGGGGTCACAGAGAGATGCACATAGTGTACACACACACACACACTCTCTGGTGAGAGAGCGATGTATAGTAGCATTCCAGGATGACGTTAACTCTTGTAGTGGCTGTTGACCTTGGTATGAGGGAGAGAAAGGAAGGGAGAGGGGGGAGACAGAGGGAGGGATAGATACTGACCCAATGTGCGACTCGCCTAACCATCAGTACTTGATAACACGATAGCCTAAGTCTGTCAATACAATAGATTGATAGCATTATGGCCTCAGTATAGGCGAAAACTCTGGCTTACAGACACGTTATAGATAGAGTGCATGCCTAGAGCAGGGCTGTACAGTGTGACCATTTTACTCGCATATGCGCCTAAATATTTTGCTGTGCGACATGGAATTTATATTTAGGCGCACCAGTGCATTCTAGAATTCTAGCTTTATTACCTCAAATATTTTTCACTGTGCTCCTATTTTTCTTTGTGTGCGCCTACATTTTTCAACTTAGCCACACACGTGCTCCTTGTAAAAATGGTCAGTGTAGAGGCCTGTAGTGAACCACTTATGATGACCACTAAGAAACATATATCTCCTATCTTTGCACTTGTGTGTAACACCAAAACAAGATATACCCACTAGTTATATTTGTATGAAGGTGATAAATTGTGTCTTTGGAGAAATATTGATAATGTCCTTCGGTTTCTGATGTGTATATGGAGTGAGGGAAGGAAGGAAGGAAGGAAGGGATGAAGTTGTTTGTATATTTTGGTGTGAGGTATCTGTATACTGTATATGTACGGATCTTTATTTTTCTTGTCAAACTCCTGTGAAAAATGTGGGTATTTATCAGAGTGTAAATAACTGCTGTATAGAGTCAATGTTGTCGTGTGGAACTCACTTCCTGGTTTGGCCAAGGTCAAAGTTCAATCAGAGCCAATAATACTGTACTCAGAATGTAACTGCTTTGAATAGACAACCCTTCAATGAAATGGTGTAGGACGTATAAGATTCACATCTTCAGCTATTAAATACTAGTGAATCTAGTTCATCTCAAGAACAATAGTTGACATACATGTAGACATTTTAGTTTTTCAACCAGGATGATAACTGAAATAACTGGATTGGCAGGTTCACTAAAGTCAATCAACATACTGCCCCTTCACCCATAAACACACAGGCACAGACACACACACACACACAGTGTGAGACACATACACTATTAATCAGATAGACTAGCTCCCACAGAGGCAGTGATCTGTGTGGTTTCTGAGTCAGCCCTCAGGGGCTTAGGGACATCTGTCAGTGCCACAGGGTGTGTAACCCGAACGGCCATTTCCTGCCCCCTCTGTCTCTTAGCAATGGGAGTTGGAGGAGACATTACTGTACACTGTCCCCTGCAGCCTGATCTCTCACACACACACACACACACACACACATACAGAAAGAGGGAACCAGTAGGAGAGACACTACCCCCAACGCACAAACGCTCACACTGAACACAGACATACAACCCACAACCTAATCAAACCAAACACACCCTGGCACCCACATTCGCTCCAACTCAAACTGTCCTTGATACACACCCACATACACATCTTCCTATTCCCTTTCTATGCTCAGTGGTGTGAACTCTGTCAGAACATTCACAGAAACCCTTCTGTTCTCCAGAGAGAGGGAGAGAGCCACACACACTCCTCTTGCCCAATGTCAGGGATTTAAGGAAAATGTGTTCTGAGAACACTGTTTCTGAGAATCATCTGTACTGTTGCTCTCTCTCTGTGAGTGCTGCGTTTTACAGCTTTCACAAAATAAAATACCCAATTTGCCAATCTTGACCTCCACTGACTGGTCCCAAAGTAAAATGCTTCTATAAAAGAACTATCTTCAGTCTTTTACAACATGTTTTTTTAAGTAAATGTTTTCTGGGAATCTACTTCTCTTGACCTCCACCTGTACTGCCTGGCACAAAAATCAAATAAAAATGCTTTTAGTGAATTCAGATAATGTTCCTGACCTGGAACTAGCACAGTGTTTTATTTAGTTTTCTTTTGTTGATAATCCACATCATCGTCGTCTGGCTCTAAACACTGATGACTAATCGAAGCCTTAACTTCCTTGTCGTCTCAATCGCTCCCCCCTGACGTGTACATAGTATAAATATATAAATACAGTATCTAGCAGAAAGAAAAATAATGACTAATTTATGGTGTCACGTGTTCTATTTCTCAGCAGCAAACATGAAGGATTTATTATCTTCTGTATCAATGCTTATTTTACAAGTCCTTATCTTTTTATCTCTTATTGCAGTGCTTTATAATTTATGTTTTTGGAGTGCTTTATTTCTCGACTGCTTTGCTGTGATTACTACGCCAAAACAGGCTTAATGTGCTTTTACTGTACAAAATGGTGCACAGTGCACACTCGAAACAATCTTACCACAAAATGTGCTTTTTATTCACCATTCTCTGAACTTGTCATTTTATTTTTTAAAGCATTTTAGAATTTGTTGTCACTATTTGTCATGTCTTTCTATTTAGTTGTTTTTTTGGATTTGGTTGCAATTAAAGTTTTTTGATTTTTGAAATGATGACCTTGTTGCTGTGTATTATGTACATAGAATGAAATAGAACGCACATAAATAGTAATTTAATGTAAGCATGTATCTGGGTATATTTATTATCAATGTCCTCTGTTAGCTAGTGTCACATGTTAGCACCACCTGGAGGGTGCTGAGTCTTGCTGTTTGTCTGGTTTCGGTTGTGATAAAACTGCTAATTGTCAACAGCGTGCTGATAACATACAGTATCTAGGCTATGGGAATCAATAATATAATATAATA